GGAAAGAGTACATACACTAACTTTAGCAGTTAAAAGAAAACAATGACATTGACTGTGTCAGAAAACTAACGTGGCACATGGTCAAGTCTTACTGTAAAGTGATAAAATCCTGAAAGTGCTGGACTACTGCTTTGTTATCTGCCTTCCACAGCTCAGAAAGCGAATCTGGCTCACAAAGCGCGTGCGATCAGCTTGTAACCCCCACGGCATTAGCAGCCTGTACCAGGGTTGACTCCTGTTTTACTCCTTGGTTTGTGCCATCACTAAGTGTGTTGATCCAGTTTTCTTATTTGGAAGTCCACCTCTGCCATCACCTTGATCAGCTAGGCACAGGTATGTACTCCTTTATGTAGAATAATAAAAGCATATAGTTAATACCTACTGCTTAGTTGCTGTTTTGCTGTCTGTAGTCCCCATTTCCTCATTCAAACAGACATTCTTGAAATAAATTATCACAACAGCCACCAGTAGTAGAGACCTCAGGGTACAACTGCTGACTTCTGTGCATTGAGAAAGTACATACGGTAGGCAGTGGGGCTGGCGGATCAGCCCCTTTCCTGCCTCCGGAATGGGTAACTGTAGAAGCCATCCGGTTTTTGTAGTCTGATTAGTGACAGCAGGTGCCACTTCAGTTTTGAGCCATTTTAGTGAATGAATTTGATCTTTTAAATTTTCCAGCATATTAACAGTGTTATTAAAATATTTGAAGATTTTGGAATCCCCTTAGTAAGAATTCCTTGGAAGAGCTCTGAGAACTGCAGATTTAGCTGTTACTTCAATTATGATCACTTTTGGAGCTACATCTGGTTTTGTTCAGTGCTCTTTGTCATTGCATTAATGGCAAATACATTCCAAGAGATCTTTAGATTATTGTCTGATTTTCAAATGCCATGAATGCTTTCTGTGGAAGATGAGCAAATATCTTACATAATTTTGACAAGGACAGCTTTCTTCATGTGTAGTTTTTGTGTTTCTGCAAATATTATATTATGTTCATTATCAAATCATACCAAGACTGACACTCCACTTCTAGCAAATAATTTCTTGTCTATCGGCTACCTCTATCAGTACATAATCTTCCTCACTATTACACTCAATTCCAAATGCTTGATCTTTAAAATTACACATACTGGAAAAAAAAAGTCAGATTAAATCAAACTCAGCTGTTTCATTTTTCAGCAGCGACTGAGTTTATGCTGCTGCTGTTCTTGTTACAGCACTTATAGGCCTTAAGTTTTGGGGGCTCCATTGTGCTATGTTATACGCAAAGGGAGGACAAAACTTATTGTATCCGTCACACTTTTGTAGAATAATAGGGCTTGATCCTGGAAAGTGATGAGTGTTTTGGTTCCAAATCTGTAAAGCACTTGAGCGTACGCTAATTTTAAGCATGTGAGTAGTTCCAGCAACATAAATAATAACATCAATGGAAATACTCTCATGATTAAAGTTAGCATACAAGTGGTGTACGTGCCTTACAGAGTCTGCTGCCACAGTGCTCAGCACTTCACAGGGCAGAGAATTCAGTGAGCACGATAAAATCTTGTTTATGATGTATTTCTCATGCTTTAGTCTCAGGATACTGTTTTATTTAATTTCTAGTATTATGGGGTAATATGTTGCATCTCAGTGGGTTTGTGGTCTTGAACTCTCTGTAACTGCAGCAAAGACAATTTTCATTGTGGAGCCTGTTAGCCTGCACAGTCAAGTGTCAGCAAATATTACATTGCTAATTTTCATTGTATTTATAATGTGCTATGTGTGCAATATCATATATATCTACTATAGCAACAATTCTCACAGAATTATGGTCTATGCTCCAAATAGATGGCAATATGAAGTATAGTGCAGTGTGTAGATAAAGCAGTTTGGCAGGCTGGTCTGTTTACCATGAAAAGATTTTGGTTTGCAGATAATTTTTTTTTGCAGCTGCTATTAATTACAGTTCTATTTTACATCTAATAAACAGTGTGAACAAGATTAATTTCAGATTTTAGAAGTGTTGGCTCTTTTATGAATTTTACTTGTTTTCATCGTATGTACAGGCAGTTAAAAACACAGTTTACAAAAACATACAGAACGTGGCAATGGTGATGTTCGGGTCTTGTTTGTTCTTTTACTTTTCAGCACCACCAAAGTTTCTTCAGCCGTTTTTATCTGATAAGAACATGCCATCTGAACTAGAATACATGATAATTTCCTTTGATGAACCTCATGTATATCTTCGTCAGTGGAGAGATGAGTCAATGTTCCAGGAGATACAGTTTTCAACTCAAGCTGACTGTAAACTTTTGGAGTGTCGAAACGTGACTATGCACAGTGTTGTGAAACCTTTCAAAATCTGGGGGCAGATTACTGTTTCCAGCAGCACCGTAGGAAGGCTATTGGACTGCACGATAACGGTGGACCCCATTTTCATCAACTTTGGCCAATATGCACTTCATTCTCTAAATACAGCAATTCAAGCTTGGCAGCAGGTATGCAAATACAATAGTGAGAAAAAAAATGTAGCTGTTGTGATTAATTTAATAGAGAATTAGAATGCCAACTATATTCATGAAAAATATTCCAATATGTAAAAGCTTTAATTTACACTAAAAGTGGTTTTTGCTAATAAACATTAATTACAGAATAGCAATGAAAATTAGGAAACAAGGAGTGCTATATGTAAAGGTAAATGTAGCCAGAACTGCTTGAGTTTTAGTGAAACTACATGGATTTGTATCAGAATAATCAGAATCTTGGTCTTGAAAGGCATAATATTCCATTAATATATGAAAAGGTGAGTGATGCATGATATGTAAGCACAGCTCAGTCTGAGCAGTAGAGCGTATTGTTTCCAGCTACTACTTCTATGCTTAGTGAAGTTCAACACTAGTTTCACATTACATTCTCTGCAAGCAGCATTAATGGCTGAAGCCAGTCCCAGAGTAAGGAACCTTGCTTCTGCAATGACCCCGCGAAGGCCTGTAATTCCCTGATTCCACTATAGCCTTGAAATGAAACCATTCTCTTCATCTGCCTGAAGACCTATGTGGAGCCTGGGAATTAATTACCTATCATGGCACTACAATAACAAAGCCCCCAAAAAAGGATAAAACATCTGTTTTATATCAAAAAATTCTTTTTTAAGGGCATTCCATGGTTTTCTTGTTGCAAAAGGACATTCATAAAACAAGATCTAGTGTGATTTAAATCTTTACAGCTGGCTCAAATATCAATGTGAACAAAAATCTTTGTAGCTCCAATTTCTGGTTTTTGTCATATTTTGAACAATGCTTTTAATAAAAAACAAACATAGAAAGTATAAGAGAGTCACTGGTAGGCTGTTTAAACCCAAAATATTTCTGACTCAGTACTAGTCTCTCATCTAAGACATGTGTGGCAACTACTGCAAAATGGCCTTCAGAAAGGTCAGTTTCCTCTTAGGATGAAAAAAAAAAAAGATCTCTTAGACATAGCTATACATATAAATAAAATATGGTGCATAAATATTTAAATGTTTTAAACCACATCACAGTGTGAATGACTGACTGACTACTCTGTGCCTTGAAGGAATATTCTGAGTTGAAAAAATGGAATTGTATATTTGATTAAGTAGAGCCATATGTCGCATAGTATATTGCTGACAGGTACATTCTATGAATAGTTGGTACTGATTTATACATGGATTTGGCAATGTTAACATGAGCCACAGGAGGATATACTTCTGTAATTGTTGCTGTAATTTTCTCGTTTCCTCTCATGTCAAGGGTACTTGCCACCATGTTCTGATGTGGTGGGTATCTAGCCCTGAGTATTCGAGATTAAAAACTTGCACTGCTTTGAAATTAGGGAACAGTTAACGCACAAGTGGGTTCAAAATGGCTTATTAAATTAATTGTTACCAAGATGTTTTGTATGTGGCTTTACCTCCAGATTCGGGGGGTGGCACGCACTGCACAGGGAGGGAATGGACTTCCCATTGATAAGCATTGTTTGATGTTTGCTGTTCACACAAAATACAATATAAATGCTGCCAGCTAGAAGCATGAATTTCATAAGCAGGAAAGGTGGTTTGAATTCTCCACATAATTTTTACTGGTTTAATATCTGAAACAAGGGATGTTGTAGTCAGTGGACAGAGAGATGGAGCATGAAAGAATTTGGCCCTGCACCTTTAGGTCAAGAGTTCAGGATTAACAGAAGCCTCTGTCAGTGTCTTTTTTTCCAAGATATGGACTGATTTTTTTTTGGTTTGTTGAAGTAATGGTGAACATTTTGAAAGTAGATTAAGCCTAAAAAACACGAGGCATACAACTTGCTTTATACTTCTAAGTCACATGCTGAAAATCTGAGAGGATTAGCACTTTTTAAAAACAGTTTCCCATTTTGACGTATTTCACTGTCTAATCTGAAATCCTTGTTTAAATACAAGCAGTAGCAGGCCATTGCACATCTAAATGCAAAGCTGAAGTAATGGTTTTAACAAATAACTGGGCAGGGAACTTCAAGATTGTTATTAATTTAGTTTTATTATTTAATAATAACATACAGAGTATTAAGTGAGATACAAAATGCATGTCTCCTGTGCATATACATTGGGGAGGGTGTCCCCTTTATTTGGGCATTTAAGCCTTCTCAAATTGTCTTGTAGCATTACTGCTTTGTGATACCTAGAGACACAGGGTCAGCTGAGAAGACAGCTCCCCAGGTATGGTACTAAGCGAGTGTTCACAGAATCACAGAATGGTAGGGGTTGGAAGGGACCTCTGTGGGTCATCTAGTTCAACCCTGCTGCCGAAGCAGGGTCACCTACAGCAGGCTGCACAGGACCTTGTCCAGGCGGGTCTTGAATATCTCCAGAGAAGGAGACTCCACAACCTCCCTGGGCAGCCTGTTCCAGTGCTCCGTCACCCTCAGAGGGAAGAAGTTCTTCCTCATGTTCAGACGGAACTTCCTATGCTTCAGTTTGTGCCCATTGCCCCTTGTCCTGTCGCTGGGCACCACTGAAAAGAGATTTCCTGGGGAAAAAACTATTCCTTTGTGGTCTCGCACTGCAAATGTTTTCCTAAACACCTCAGAAGTTGTAAAAGCTCCCATTTTAAACCATTAGAACTTATTTTCCTCGAGGTCTGCATGGTACTTAACCTTTCTTGTTCACAGTTGCATAAGTTTTCTTAATAAACTGGGATCAGTCAAAATGACCTCTGTGATCACAGCAGTTTCCCCATCTTTCTACCACAAGCACAAAGAACAAAGGAAAAGGGTACAGAAAATTTGCTTGTAGCTTCAATTTTACTTTCTAACTCATAATGTCAGGATGCTGCCGTGAGAATGAAGTTTAAAAAAATCAGGAGAATGTTCTTTTCTCTTAGAGGAACTTTGAGGGAGATAAGAAATTGCCAAAGACTTTCTGTCCAAAAAATATTACTAGGTACTAGAGAGAGAGAGGCTGTGTACATGTATTTGTGTGTGCGTGTGAGAGACAGAAAGCTTGCACAGGTCTTCAGTAGCTTATGAAGCACACAGAAAATAACTGTGCGTATAAAGAGGCCCAGGCTTTTATGGGGTTTTCTTCCAGATCCAGAAATGCTTTGAAATAGCTGTGAGCTGAGACGTGAGCAGAAAGTCTTGAGACAGGGAAAGACTGGTGACTAGCATTATGTGGGATGTTTTTCCCCCTCTCTGAATATAATTCACAAAATATTTGAAAGCCCAATAAAGGAGAAACACTTTCCAGGCCTCTCTGAGAGAAAAGAACAGCTGAAAAATGAGCTAAAGAGGGGCAGGAAATTGTCCCCCAGGAACTGACCCTAATCTGTATCTGGTTCAGGCTGTTGATCTTTTGCTGATTCTTTTGATTTGCTGTTTTAATTCAGAGAGGGAATTTTTTTCCTAATCCACACTTAGGTGTTTTCAGCTCCTGGAGTCATCATTCAGCCCTTCAGCATTGCTGCCACACAAATGGCCCAGTTCTGTTTGTTTTTATTATGTCTGGTTTCTCTACCCTCTCTTTTATCAATCAAGATTTCATCTCTCTGTCCTTCTGCTTCCCCTAGAAGCTTCTACTTTCAGACTTCAGCAGCAAATTTGGGATCCAGTTCTCTGTGGTGGGTGCAGGGAGCTGCTGCAGCTCCCCAGGGACTGGTGGTACTCTGGGAAAAATCTCCTGCATTTACTGCAAGGAGAATACGAGTTGTCTAGAATCTTGCCTGTACAGTGCATAGTTGCCATACTGAGTTAAAGCATCCCCGAGCTTCCCTTATGATCTTTTAGCTGTTATTATCAAGACTTGAGGCATCAGTAGCTCTCTCTTAAGCCTAGCAGCATGGAGCAACTCCTTATTGTGCAAATCTTGGTGTTTCCTTGGTTACAGTTTTGGAACGGTTATAAAATTGAGCTTAAAATACCTCTTTTGCTTAACTCTGAGAAGCATTGCTGTTAAAAGGAGGGTATTCTAGTAGCAAAACTAGCATTTTAGACTAATGATTGATGGCAGTCATTCATCAGCACCAGAATGTGTGCAAGTCTGTTAACAATCCCTGATGGGGTAATATCCCATCAGTACAATTCAGGACTTCTATGCATGCCAAAAACTCAAGACAAAAAAATTGAAGTGTGCTAGATTCCCTTTTCCCTTCAGAAAATGCAAGAACTTACAGTCTGTCTGAATTCAGTTTGACAGTAATTGTCAGGTAAAAAGAAGGAAGTTCATCATCCTCTGGTGGTGTTTTTCCCGTCTGTGCATAATCAGCAAGAAAATGTATTGGAGTAAAAAATTTTCTTAAAGTGCCCTGGGGTTATATCTAGGTTTGACTATAACAACATGCTGAGCTCTATGGGTAGTAAATCCTCCCTTTTAAAAAGAACATTTTTCAAAGCTGTAACAGGAAAATATATATATTTGTGGTAGGCTTATGGGTATGTGGGTATGGCAGCTTGACAGTAGGAAGTCATAGATCCACCACTGGAAAATGCCAAAATAAACTCTGCACTCTGAAGTGGCACTGTAAATGGCAGCCTTTAGCATACCCGGATCTGCTACTGAATGCGATACAGATATATTGCTCTGTAATGAGCTTTACTGCTTTGAAAAAGCGAGATTTTGGTTATGCTCTCCTAAGTCTTGTTTCACAGAAGATACCTGATCTTATGCAGAAGATTTCATGAGATTTAGAGAGAAGCTTTAACCTAAATATTCTCATGCTTAAATACTTCTAGGGTGAATAATTTTTTGCACAAACACTCCCAGTCAACCATTCTGACATTCAGTCACAAAAGGAATCACAGCCTGCACCTGAGGTTCTCCTGAAGTTGGTAACAGTAGTGAACATGCATTCAAGGATGCTAAGTTGGACATACCTTGCACACTTCACTTTTCAGAAAATCTGTTCCACATGTATCACCCAGAAATGTGCTACAAGCAATGTACCAAACTGTTTTTCATGGATAGCTAAGGATCCATAGGGATCTATGAGAAAATATTTTTCTGTCTCTCTTGTTTGATCTCTGAATTTCTGCAGGCTTCCAGGCACATTGTTATCAAAGAACTAGAGACCCATATGATCATAGACAGAGGAGGTGCTAGCTTCATTATGTCCGTTTAAAAGGTCCACTGAGAGAGCAAGGAGGGGAAACAGAATCAGCTCTCAAAGACCACGGAGGTCCCATAAGTTAGAGAAAACGTCATGGGAAGAAAGGATGAGAAAAGAGCAGCTGGGCTGTATTGTGGAGAGAAGGGAACCAACCAACAATAAAGCATTATCGAAAGTGTGTACTGGGAAAGATGGGTCAAAAAGAGGTAACAGAAAGCAAAAGAAGATAAATTCTTTGTGTTTTAGCCATTAAATTGCAGGAAGATTATCCATATGTTGCTTTCTTGGAGTAATTATTATGGTTGCTAGATAGTTGCTTGTAAGTGGGAGGTGCCAGCCCAGTAGTGACTAGGACAGACATACATGAGATGATCTCCAAATCAAATTATCAGTCACACTTTGACCTCTCCCATATAGGGGATTGTAATTTGTGCCTTCAGGGGCAGAAGACCTGTAGCTCTGGTAATTTTTATGACTATCATATAGTCTCATTGTGTCAACAGAGTGACAAGCACCTAGATGAAACACAGAAAGAGAGGGATGGAAGGATGCTGCAGGCAGGAGAATAAGTATTGTAAAGTCTAAACTACTTTTAAAACCCCTGATAGTTTCTGATTTTTCCTATTAGACTGTCAAATTGCATGGTGCATTTTCAAACTAGCTTCATGGAGCTGTGAAAATACTCTCCCCATGTCTCCTGCTTTTTCTTTAGTTATTTTTTTAAGTGTTGTGGTATTAGGAGAGAGACTCTTCTGCTCCTGACCCACAGCAACAATTCAAAGTAGAAGCAGCAGCTGGGGAGAGGAAGCGCAGCCTGCTGGCCGGTTGTCAAGCATAGAGAAACCTCTGCACACCTCTCTGCTCAGCCTGTAGTGCCCCGCCTGCCCTATGTGACATGTCAGTTCCAACTGAATTTAATTTCATTGAAGTCTTTTACATAAGTTAGGAAATCTAGTTTTTACTGTCATTTTAAATCTTTAAGATTTGTATTACAGAAACATAAACTAAAATGTGTGAAGTCTTAGGATATATTTTGTCAACCCAAATGCTAGTTTTTGCACAGAGTAGAGTACTATGAGACCAAAGCTAATGGCAAGAGATCTTGAAGCATTTCTGTGTTGTAACAGTCACCACTGGGCAGACAGCTGCCAAATGTCTTGCAATTAATCTGATGCTTACTGGCTTTTATATCCCTTTCCTTTCAGAACCAATGCCCTGAGGCAGAGGAGTTGGTCTTCAGCCATTTTGTGATCTGTAATGACACACAAGAGACACTGCGGTTTGGCCAGGTGGATACTGATGAAAATATTTTGCTGGCTAGTCTCCACAGTCACCAGTACAGCTGGCGCTCTCACAAGTCCCCACAGGTATGTCAGAAACAGGCCTTCAAATGCAGCAATTGCTAAAGCTGACTGGTGACTTTATGCGTTGATTCTTCGGTTTCCACTATGATCTCGACTATCTCTAATGCTCCAGTTCCTTCAGAAGCCACACGCTGCGGCTGCATCAGAGAGAAAAGGTAAACAAAGAGTGAGGAAAGCCAGAAGTGTGTAGAAGTTACTCGAGGGTAGAACGGAATGTGCACAGCCGCTTTCTGTAAAACTGAGCAGTTGCGGAAACTGAAGTTTCTGAAAAAAGTAAAAGAAGATCGCTTGCCAGGTTTTTATAACTAAGTGATCAGTGTCTGTTTTCTGCGATGTACATTAGAGGTTTGGGGAATTTTTTTAATGAATTGTTTTTACCAGAAGCATCTGTTCACTGAAATTGTTTGCAGAACAGGGTCAAACTGGACAAATCTCTCAACTCAGCATGTGCTTGCATTAGAATAGATTTGAAATTGTCAGAAACACCCCACTTACAGAGTTTAAATGCTGCAGTTTCTGCTTCTTGGGTGTTTTTTTAAGGATAAACACTGAAACTGAAATAAAACATTTTAAAATTATCAACAGGAAATATTTCAATGAAACCATGTTGTTGGTTTTCTTGAGTGGTGGTGAAAAGTGGACTTTTCATCTTGATTCAAGATCAGGCAAGAATTTAAATCTAAAAAGAAGTGTTTATGAGACAGCAAAGCCATTTTTTCTTTCTTTTTAATATATACCCAGCTTCTGCTGAGTGGGAGACTAGAGACCTGTGCCACCCCCCTTGCTAAGCAGCAGTCCTGTGCTGAAAAATTACTAAAATTTTTACCGATCCTAGGAGAAGTGTAGTGGATGGGAGCTCCTAACTCCTCTAGAGCCTTGGAAAATACCAGCCTTAGCATGTCAGAAAGGTGAAGTTTGGATGGTAATTCTGAACAGGAGCTGTGCCCACTTTGACTGCTGACAAGTTTGAAGTTTCATTGGGATGCAGAGATGGCAAATTTACTGTGTTTTTCGTTCATACATCAGTTGGTGAATATGCAAAACTACTGAATTTTACATGAAAGCAGTAATCTGTGCGCAGCACGTTCAGCCAGAATAAACAGTGGCAGTTGACACTGAAGTCAAGGCATAAGGTAAAAGGAAGGCAGGCTAATAAAGGAGCGTCTCACCCCAGCGACACAGGAGTTATGAACTGTGCGCCAGTGTAACAGTGCACAGAGGGGGACCAGTGGAGACCGAGAGACACTGGAGTACTATACGTCCCTTGTTGCGTTTTCAAAAAGGACGTATGTTTTCTCATACAAGCAAAATGGCTGTGATGCCCCCACCCACGGGCAAGTGACTGTGTTGTCTGCAGTTGGGCAAGTGTCAGGCTGCGAGCCAGGATCCCCACTCATCAGGTGACAGTACTCACACCTGGGTTTACAGTTGACATAACTCCCTCTAGTTGTGTGAGGGAGAAAGAACAACAGGCTTGTAGAAAGCTAGCTAAAAGTAACCCATATTTCATAACCAAATATCTCTTGCTTTTGTAGCAACCACCTAAAAATCATTTAAACCTTTTCATAAACACTTGGGAAAAGAAGGGAATGCTTAAAACAATTGTAAATAAAACCAGTACTAAGTAAGGTTTTCCTCTTAAAAATTTTTCTTATTGATTTTCTGGTTACTTATATAAAATTACTCAGTTGAGAGAATCCGCTTTTTGACCATCATTCTAGATAGTTCTGCTAATGGTGTAGTTCTGATTATGGTGTGGTTCTGCTAATGGTGGGCTTCCAATAATGGTGCAAACTGCAAAGAGTTTTGAAAATGAGGATTATCTGAGGCAAAGTGAAAAGCAGAGTTAAAATTGCAGCTTGTGTCAGTTGCAGCCAAGCTGCTAAAGACCACCAGCACAACATACGGCATTAGCTGTGCAGCACCTGGAGAACTTAAATATTAAAACATTGGTCTTTAGCTTGTCCTTTCAGTCACAGATTTGAGCTGTGCAAAACATTCCATTTTCATGGCCGCTATGTAAGTTTCTAATTAAATGAAAAATAGAAAGTGCAGAGTGAAAGGTAGAAAAGTCCAGCAGAAAACCAAATCACACATTAGGGAGTGGGTGAGGTGACAGCAGGAACTTCAGATTCATTTTTCAGATATTTATTCTTCAGCTGAAAGTTAGTGATGTCAAAGGGTTTCCCCATTCTGTTTCATTCTGATCAGATTCAGATTCACAGAAGAATTGGGCTGATAAACAGTCAGGAGCGTCATGTTGGATTCCCATGTCCCAGGAGATGGCGAAGCTAACAGCTCGCTCCTCCTGACTCAGCCACATTGCTGGCCAGCGGGCTTTTCTAGTAGGGGGGCTATACCTCCCTTGTCCCAGCCCTTGGAATAATTTCAAGAAAATTTCTGCTCTTTTAACGTTTTTCAACAGCCATCTCTTGCTGGGAAATTTAGAGACTAAAATAGCAGTGAGGTAATTTCACTGAAAACATATGGAAGCACAGGCATTCCACACACTGTTGAGATAGAAGCAAATTTGCTTTCAAAGGTCGGAGAATCTTGGCATCCATCTGTAAGCCTTGTTCATTTGGTTAATGTTAAATACAAATCACTGTAAGTTTAGCATGCTTCAGAAAAGCAGTTCATCTAAACAGTCTAAGCAGCGCAATCCGTTGTCATTTTAGATCATACAAAATAAGTTTGTTTAAATATTATTACAAATGTTGTTGTGTACATTTTTTCGATGATTAATACAAATCCTTGAAATGAAAACGACAACTCAATTAAGACATCAGGTTGTCTCTGTTATGCTATGGCACTGTTCTAATTGTTTCCATGCAAAACTATCTAACGGCTTATTATCCAAAGGTCAGAATAATGCCCAAGCATGGACAAACCCTCCAAGTGTCATATTCATGGAATGCTAGATGACTTCATAGTTATGAAATTATTTAATTTCTCATGATAATTCCCAACTTGCCAAGTTAGTGAATTTTAAGAACTCTGGGAGCAGATTGTAAGATAAATGTGAAACAATCCATATTTCTGGAGTCAGGGACTTCCCTCCAGGCATTAGTTCATACTTGACTTACTTGACTTACTCTTGGGGATAAAATGAGTTAGGACAAGGTCTTAGATACCACATTCTCTTACTGGGAAAGAAAACCAACTTGCACAACTTCGGCTGGCTCATGTTTCGTGTTACACAGGCACTAAGAAGCAGCGGTTGCCATGAAATACTTTATTTAACCTCTGCAAAATGTTTTTTTAGTATGGCTAGGCAGTTCAGTTAAATGAAAATAAATAGTTTTAAAAGTATTGTATTTCTTTCACATTCACATCAATAAAATTCTCCATTTTTCTTTTGCTAATTAAGCATAGTGAGCGATGCAGTAATTGCCCATTTGAATTATTTAACACAATTAAATATATATACCTAAAATAAGTTATCTTTGTAGTAGCAGATAGTTATATAATACTTTATTTACATTTAGAATTAAGTTTAATATTAATGAAGCTACTATAGGTTATAATTAAAAATTGTTCAACTTTTTCATGTTACACAAACAGCTACAGCACACCAAGGATTTGGATTTATCAGCTATTGATGGTGTCCCTCCAACTGTTTGGCTTAACTTAAAGCTCCTTCCTTCCTTCATTTTTTTCCTGCCCGGATCTTCTACATTTCAGGGAACTTAACCTTTCCCTTTTAACTTTCACTCTGATTCTTGCAAGTCTCGCTAGTTTGGTTAATATTTCAGTAAAAGTCTGAGGTCCGATGCTCGGACTTCTACTCCACCCCATCCCCCATGTTTTCCTCAGATTTCATGAGGTTTTGACCTTCCCTAGGGATAAGACACCCCCAACTATATAGTCCCTTTCAGAGTTGGGGTAAGTCCATAACTGATGATATTTGAGGCTTTAAGCAATTCTAGCAAAAGTTGCCAGACCTCCCGAGTTCCTTTTGCAGATTTTAATGAAAGTTAGAGGTCTGTTAGATGTCATTAAAAGGGAAGAGAAGCTACATCACTCCCTTGCTCTACAGACAACACTAGCTCTTACATTATTATTGGATCCAGTTTGCGCTCCTTATCTTGATCTTCAAGTTGCTTTGTGGGATGGGCCCCAGTTATGTCAAAAGTCATGTTTGTCTGCAAGACAGCTGTTTTCTTTAGAAGAAGAACTGGAGCATATGATACATAGGGTGAAACTCTGAAGTTAGAAGAGACCAGATCTTCCTAGCAATTTACTCAGAGTTAAGGAATTCTATCTTGCAAGATGGTAGGCAGTTGCAGGGTCCCAGCAGGGATCACAGCAAAGGTAAAAACCAGATATTCATGTGAGAGTCCCCGAATGTATTCTGCAGAGATTGTTTGCTTGCGAATAAACAGGAAAAATCTTTTATAACATGCTAGTTGTTACTAGTTATTTTTGCCACACTTGAACTTCAGCAAGAAGTGAAGAATAATGGATCTAAATTCATTATTTTGCTTTCTATGCAAAACATAATGCTGCGCAGGTGAAGTCTGCATTTAAAGTAGCAGCTCCCAAACCTTTCTCCAGAGTCTTCTCCCAGGGTTACAGTAACAGCCCATTTTCCCTTTTCAGCTCCCATCTGCAGATCTGCATTTCCTCCGTACTGTGGCATCATCACAGCTCTTTTTTTACTATCTCACATCTTTTAAAATAACCAACTGCTTTCACATCATTAACCAGGTCCTCACTTGATTCCTCCCAGTCTCTCAAACTTGAGAGCAATAGCCTTTATTCTTCCCAAAAAGCATTTTCTAGTTTCCCTTAGAAGACAGATATAATCTAAATACAGTGAAACCAAGTTAACTTTGGTGGATCTACAAGCAAAGTAGAAATCAAATTTGTATCACTACATTTTGAGGGCACAAGCTTTAAATTACTTATACAGCTGGAAAATGCTGCCTTTTCTGGACAGACTCCATTCTCAGTCTCATTTTTAATCCCCCATTTTAGTCTTCATGCCTTGTCATATGACACTTAGCTTTATTTACTCAGATCATATCCTTCACTTGCACATCTAGCTGAAAACCTAAGTAAATTCTGAGGAGTGTGTAGAAACATTCTGTGAAAAGGCGTGATAAAAAATACAGCTTTTCTAGCCATTCACTCCAGTAGGAGTAGCTTCATCTTAGTCTGCCTCCCTGAAGGCAATTTCTTTCCTCCCAAAGCAGAAATCCATAGTAGCTCAGAATTACAGAGCCCAACCCCAGCAAAGTCTAGTCAAAACAAAAAACTCTGTGTTATCAGTTGATGTGTTTCCCTACGGAAAATGCAGAAATCAAATGGTTACACAAATGAGTGCCTATCTTCACAACAACATCTTGTAACAACAAGGGTGGACAAGGGAAAACCTATGGATGTCATCTATCAGGATTTTTGTAAAGCCTTTGACACTGTCCCCCACAACATCCTTCTCTCTAAATTGGAGAGCCATGGATTTGATGGGTGGACCGTTCGGTGGATAAGGAATTGGTTGGATGGTCGCAGCCAAAGGGTGGTGGTCAGCGGCTCAATGTCCAGATGGAGACCAGTGATGAGTGGAGTCCCTCAGGGGTCCGTACTGGGACCGGTGCTGTTCAATATATTTATCAATGACATGGACAGCGACATTGAGTGTACCCTCAGCAAGTCTGCAGATGACACCAATCTGAGTGGTACGGTCGAGACACCAGAAGGATGGGATGCCATCCAGAGGGACCTGGACAAGCTGGAGAGGTGGGCCTGTGTGAACCTCATGAGGTTCAACACGGCCAAGTGCAAGGTCCTACACCTGGGTTGGGGTAATCCCCGGTATCAATACAGGCTGGGGGATGAAAGGTAGTGGAGGCCCCATCCCTGGAAACATTCAAGACCAGGTTGGACAGGGCTCTGAGCAACCTGATCTAGTTAGCGGTGTCCCTGCTTGCTGTGGAACTGTTGGAGCGGGTCCAAAGGAGGGCTACAAAAATGATCCGAGGGCTGGAGCACCTCTCCTATGAGGACAGGCTGAGACAGTTGGGCTTGTTCAGCCTGGAGAAGAGAAGGCTGCAGGGAGACCTGACTGCAGCCTTTCAGTACTTAAAGGGAGCCTATAGGAAAGATGGGGACAATCTTTTTAGTAGAGACAGCAGTGACAGGACGAGGGGTAGTGGTTTTAAACTAAAACAGGGTAGGTTTAGGCTGGATATAAGGAAGAAATTCTTTACAATGAGGGTTGTGAAACACTGGAACGGATTGCCCAGGGAAGTAGTGGAGGCCCCATCCCTGGAAACATTCAAGACCAGGTTGGACAGGGCTCTGAGCAACCTGATCTAGTTAGTGGTGCCCCTGCTCGCTGCGGGGGGGTTGGACTAGATGACCTCTGGGGTCCCTTCCAAGCCAAAACTTTCTATGATTCTATGATTCTATGATTCACATATACAATAGATAGTCTGTTTTAAATTTTCTCTAAACTATAAATTGCCACTTCTCATTGGATTATATTCGTTAGAATGCTTTTGAAGTCTACTGAATATTTTTTGTACCTTTTTGCAATGACTGCTCGTTTCTCCTAATACATGTACCATACTTAGCTGTACTTGATGAATTTTTTTAAGCAGAGTATCTAATAAATGCATAGATTTTACTTAAAGCTTGATAAATGAAAGGCAGTTACGTAGCAATTACCATGAATCTGTAGTATTAGGCCAGTTTTATAACATTAGAGCTCTGCCTTGTTGAGTATCTAACACCATCTATTATGACGTCTTCTGCTAAAATAATGTTAACACCTGATTACTTAATTTTCAAAAATTACTTAAATTTTTATTTCCTGCCATATATCTTTGTATCACTTAGTGTCATTTGCTCATTACTTCTAGCCACATTTTCCAGAAATCTCGCATTTAAATAACTGATTCATCCCAAGATCCCTTTGCGTTTTCATGGAATGCAGTTTCTTGGCTCAAAAGTAAACTTACGTGGTACCCAATTCTTATATGGGTTGTGTCATTAATACAGATGTATTAGATGAAGGCTGTTCCCTTTGTATGTAGTGTTTACCAGTATACAACTAGTATGTTTATAAAATAAGAAATTGACAATATATGATAATAGCTCTTTTTTATGTTTCTTTTTGAACTGTGAACTTAAATGCCAACTAATCATTGTGCTGCAAAGAAAATTAGTAAGGCAGCATTTGTGAGCTGATGACTGCTCAGGGAAAGCTGACAGCGTATTCCTTGGGAGCATTCAAGTCGTGAGCAAAGCTGTTTATACAGGGTGGGAGACATCCTAATGTTGGAGCTACATACAATTGCTAATCATCAATTATGGCATTTATATGACATCTATCTTTGGAGCTCACCGTATTTTGTGTGCCTTCTAGCTGAGACTGACCACTTAATACTTTTTCTCATTATTTGGCTGTCATTTCCAGCTACCAGTCTCTCCAAAGTAAACAGTTTTCTTGTTTCTCTTAGTTTTCATGTGTGAGGAGATTTATTCCCAGCTGCCTCTGTAAGAAACTGAACTGATTCCAGCCACTGCAGTTGGATTTTTTTGTTCTGTTTTTCCTTTTCTGTAACTAATACTTAAGAATCAAAGCGACGTGTTTGTTTGAGTGTGCATGTCCTAGTGCACAGCTTCCCTCAACATATTCTTGAATATAAAGCTGTGCCCATGCATGTGCACATCCACATGCATGCCCGTATGCACACTGGCACACATTATCCTTTGTGCTTCCAGCGTAAAACTAATTTGAATCTGAATGCAACAGTCATCACTCTTGCAAATTCAAAAGCCACCCACTGAATGGATGTTATTGTTCTGTGTGTAACTTGTGCTGAAGATACCACAAATTGCAAACAGGCTACTGAGTTGTAATATCTTTGAAAGTTGTTGCTGCGGTTGTTTCTTAAAACAATGAAAAAACCCCAATATCCAGACATTCACTAAGTCCAGCTGGCCAGATCTATGGCCAGTGCTATCTCTTTTTAGAAACAAATCACAACAGAACATAATATTTACAAGTTTCAATTTTTGCTCGTGTAAATATCAAACTTTGGGCCTGATCCTGTTCTCAATTACTTTAATTAATTAATGACAGATGTCCAAAATCAGAATGAAATTCAACCCTCAAGGGAGAATTCCCACAAGGCCTTTATATAACTGTTTTAAAGGACTTAAGTGATGCTTAGGCTCTGTGCTGGCCCTCTGCAAAGAATAAATTTTACCCAGAATGCTTATTGCTTTGATCCCTTGTATATAACTCGCATTCTTAAGTTTGCACAGCCGCAAAAGATCTATGCAAAGCTAAATAGCCAGATCTTCAGCTGGCGTAAATTTATGTAACTTCATTGACCTACATGGAACAGTACCAGTTTTCACTACTTTGGCTTAAAGAATCTCCATGGGATAGAGGTAAGTGCATATGGTGGGTAAATGGATGAAAGGCTCTTCAAATGATGAAAGACTGTATTGCTCTGGAAGTGATTTAAGTTAAACTGGAAAAAAGCCACTCCTTTTCCGGGATAAATCACACAGGGAGTATAATTATGCTGTTAAATTTCTTCTCATGCAGTCAAGCTTGAACTTGCCACCACATTTGTGTAAGAAATGAAATGTTTCCCATCTCTCAGCAATATGCAAAGTTCTACATTTAACACACATATATATGTGAGCTGTACAAGTATACATACAAATAGATTTGCATCCTTCTTTATTTTGAAGGGAAGCGTATTTGTAATTTTCTGCCTTATTCTGAACGCCAAAAATCTGGTCTGGACCTGTGTTCCATATCACCTTGCTGGTAATAAAGAGGGTGGATTTCTAGAACAATTTCAATGGCAGTAAAGAAAATCTCTTTATTTCCTGTTTTATGCTCTGTAGTCTGCATACCTTTGGTTTTTTTGTGAATAGTTGTGTGCTGGATTTTTACCATCCTAAATACACTGTTAAAGTAGGTAATTTATAGAAATGCATGATGCAGAGCCATCTTAAGGTACTGTTGATTCTTCTGTTTGTATCTGAAATCACAGGAGGAGTGGATCATTCATAGAACTGATGTGCTTAACATTGCGGAGTTTTAAAACCAAGAATATTTCTCTGTCATGGGAATTCCTATCCTACTGCAAGGCGCTTTTTTTTCCAGTTATGTATTGAAGTAGTAATTGCTTTCTTTCCAGCTGTTACACATCTGTATTGAAGGCTGGGGAAACTGGCGATGGTCTGAACCGTTCATTGTGGACAATTCGGGGACTTTTATTCGTACCATATGATCCAGTTTGGAAAGAAATAACATGAGCAATTTGAACTGTTATCTAGTCATGAATTAGTCACCATATGATTTATTCTCTCCTGCTGGGATCTGCAAAAAAACAAGTATAACAGTCTTCTGGGGGCATTTTCGGGATTTTTACAACTCTTTTCTTCACCTCGGTGTGGATCTTCACATTTAAAAGCTCAATAACCACCTCATATATTACATGTTCCAGTAAACATCCCTTTGTGTGATTTGTAAGTTCTGACAGTGCTATGTTACACAATCTATTGCATGTTTTAAGCTCTTGAGAAGCCGAATTTATATTTTTTTTTAAGAAACTGTTCATGTCTTATTCTGGGTTGTAATTCAGGCCTTTGAATTGTTAAAAGAGAAAGATGTAATGACCAAATTAACATTCGAAAATGGGCTGCTGTGCAGTAACTTTTTGCATACTGTCTTTGTAAAGAGATCTGTAATAACACTGCAGTCATTCTGCCTGCGTTGGCAGAAGCCGGAGCATGTGGTGGACATAACATGTTCATCTTACGGATATGGCAGAGTGCTTTACGTTGCGCAACAGAAATGCAGCTGATGAGACAAGAACATTGCCTGGCGTCACTGAAAGCCCTGCTGAGATTTTGCTTAGTAGGTTGTAGCTATGGTGTGTGCCCGCATTAATGAAAAGCAAATGAAGATTGTTGTAGCAGGGATACACCTGGAATGCTGTTCCACAGTATAGCTTAGAACAAGTCAGATATATGTTCTATGATAAACAATTCATGTATGATGGACAGCAACAACTCTTGAGTCTAATTTGGTCATTTTCTAGGTGGGTGCACTCAAATACAGAAATATGGTACAGCCATTAAAGGGAATTATAAGCTTTAAATCAGTAAATATACTGAAAGGTCTGGATTGCTGGATTGTGATGGGAATGTGAGGTGTCAGCAGAAACCTTCCTTCTGAAGTACGTCACTGTGCCTGCTCAGTAAGGGCTTAGCAGTCAGAGACCATCACCATACTCTTAAAATCCAAACCAGAGCTATGTCAGCTGTGGGCAGTACTGGTGAGTTCAGTGGGAACGAAAGTGGATATGTTACGTGTTTCTTTCAAGCCTGGATACTGCCTTAGCAATTTTTCAAGTGATTAATGCCTAGGTTTCTATGAAATTGCACATACATTTGGCCAATAAAAATGATGTTTTTAAACTACTGACTTCAGCAGTGCTTAGGAAAAGCTAAAATAGGGAGATTATTCTTGTACAGGTTTTCACTTTGTAATTAAATTTTGACCTTTCTTTTCCATAATTGTTTATATAAAGAGCTGCATATTTTTGTGTGTTTTAGATCCTAATCTGTGGAAGACAGACAGTCTGTAGTTACCTTTCCGAAAGTATTGAACTGAAAGTGGTTCAGCATTACATTAGTCAGGATGGACAGGCCGTTGTTAAAGAACACATCAACTGCCTTGCAGCCAAGCAGAAGTTGCCTTCGTATGTCCTAGAAAACAATGAGCTCACCGAGCTGAGTGTGAAAGCTACAGGAGATGAAGACTGGTCCCGAGATGTATGTCTAAGTTCTAAACACACAGAACACAGCACTGTCATTCAGGTACGACTAGAAATAGGTATGTGGAATAGAGCATAAAAAATGTCTGAGAGATCTAGGGACTTTTCATTTAGACTTCTATTTGATATGATGAGATGTTGAACATTATCATCCTGAAGTAATTTTAGTGTAATACTGCTGATCTCTCTGCATACAGGTGCCATCTTCAAAGAGTTCAATTACATACGTGTGGTGCACAATTTTGACATTAGAACCCAACTCTCATGTGCAGCAACGATTAGTAAGTACATTTAATGTCTCTGAAATCTAAATGTTTATGCCATATAATAAATTAATGTTTATGTCATATAATAAATTAAGGGCAGAGTGACCCAATTTGAAGATTTATTAATGGCTTGTTTCAACAGTTGTAATAATGGAATAAAATTAGCCTTAAATTGGTATATTCTTTTCTTTTTATAGATCGTTTTCAGCCCTCTCTTCATTGTAAGGAGCCATCTTCCAGACCCAATTATCATACATTTAGAGAAAAGAAGTCTGGGACTGAATGAAACGCAAGTGATTCCAGGGAAAGGACAGGAGAAAGCACTTCAAAATATAGAACCTGATCTTACACACCACCTGACATTTCAAGCCAGGTAAAGTACTCACTGTCCTTGAAAATGGTTCATTTATGTGGAAAAGAAGTAATAATTTACACTTTAACTTCTGGTGCATTTTTTCCAAGACTGTGGCATATGCAGGGGAAATACAACAGAACAAGCATATGTGACCTGAAATGATATGATAGGAAATATTAAATTTGGTATAACTGTCCTAAGCACATTGGCATTAGTTTGCCTAAGCAGTCCATGGGTTTGTGTTTTGAAAAATAAATTCTGAAATGATTTTGAAATGTTTTTTGAGAATGCTGAAGAATTTCTGGAGTCTCAGACACAAAGGTCCTTAAGGCATCATAACAAATTCATGCATGTCAGTTAATGCTCAGGAGCTTGTTAGATATCGTAACTTGATTCATCTATGATTACCCTGAGAGTGTTCCTACTGCAGAGTATGGTTGGAAAGCTTCATTAAAGAAAATGTTAGTGCTACTAATGGTTGATCTTGTTGTGTAAGTGGCTGAATCTGTTTTCAATGACAGGGAGGAAGATGATCCATCAGAGTGCGCAGTCCCTATCTCAACCACACTAATTAACCAGATAGTGACGAAATCCCACCCAGGTGGCAATGTCAACGAAATACTGTCCGAGTTCTATGGCACCGCTAGTACTCACCAGCCTGCATGGCCGTATAATAGGAAGGATTCAGACAGGTAATTCTTTGCTAAACCTTCTTCACAGGTTGTTGCATTGCCTTTTCAAATAAACAGAAATCGTGTTCAGGAAGACTATGTGATCAACATTGAATATGTTTTCAGTAATTATATGATTCCTGTATGTAAGCTGCAGAATCTGTTGCAGGTAGTAATAAAATTGAGGTCAGCCTAGGGGCTGCCTTTGATTACACTGAGAAGACTGTGGCAGCAAGGATTAGAAAAAGGAACTTTTTTTTTTGTGAACGCAGTTTCTTTACTGCAGCTCTAAAGACTATTTTTTATTCAGTAGCTGTTTGTTCCAGTACAGAAATGGGGAGTTGCTGCAGGACGAGTTGCTGGAAAAGAAAGTGGAAATGTGATTTCATGACTACAAAAGTCACAGGTTTAATTCCAAAGGATAGTGGTAATTCTGTTAAGATGTTTCTTTAATTGACCAAATTTAGGTTGAGCTTATGCAGTTAAAAATATGTCATTACAGCCTACATGTAGCTAGATCTGTCTGACAGCATCTCAGTATGTTCCAGAATGATAAGGTAAGAGGAGATTGGTTTTGTATTTCAAAACCAGAAAAGCCTTGCAAATTTCTGAAAATGGTGGCTTATCATTTGTAATCTTGAATTTGTTATTCCTTTGACTTAGTCTGTTTGTTTGTTTGTTTTTGAACAGCAGTGAACAATTGTCCCAATGGGATAGCCCAATGCGAGTAAAGCTGTCGGTGTGGAAACCGTGTGTTAAAACTCTGCTGATAGAACTCCTGCCCTGGGCTTTGCTTATCAATCAGTCCAAGTGGGACCTCTGGCTGTTTGAAGGAGAGAAGATTGTTCTTCAAGTACCTACTGGGAAAGTAATTATACCTCCCAACTTCGAGGTAATTCTGCCATTCGTATTAACACGCACAGTTCTGCTAACCATTCTGATTCTGAAGAATGATTATTAATCCAGATGATTCCCGCTTTCCAGTCACTGTGTCTGTTAGTCAGACAATGAGGAATAGAAGGAACAGCAGAAATTTGCAATGCTGACTGAGCCACCAAGTGGGTAGCATGACGTACTTGACAGCAATGTTTGAAGAACAACATGTCTTAAAGATGCATAGTTTAAAATTGTCTGTAAGACACTGTAGGAAGAAGACCTGCATGCCATCTGATTGAGCAGCCTTCTCTCCTTCCAGTTCAGCCAATGAACGTGAGCATAATGTAGCAGCCCAAGTAAATTGCTGTAAAGGCCAAATACAGACTTTGGCCCCTGCTGTGCCAACCTGTCACTTGGGAAGTGTGTTGACCACAGTAGTGAAGCTGACAGCCTGGAAGGAATGTTTGGTCTGATGGTGTTTTAGGTTGAATCATTTCATAGCTTGTACGCTACCAGGAAAGGTTTGATAATGAGGTAGGGTGAGTTGCAAGCGAGGAAAATTCTTTAGGATGCCTGCCTTCCTGAATTCAGAGTTTTGTGTAATGGGTCTTCTCACATACCTTAGCTTAGCCATGCACATGCTTTTTTATTAACACCCCAATGTTCTTTATTTTTGAAACAATTAAAACAATTTGACACAGCAGCTTGTCAATTCTAATTGAACAAACTGATACTTCCTGTTTATTTCGCCATTTTTTTTCCCCCCTCCATGTATGTCTGTTAATAAACAGAAAGTCTGCTTATTAACACATCTCAGTGTAGACTGTGGTCTTGGTTCCACCATGAGAATCAGTCTCATATCTGCATTGTAGTTTCATCTATCATTGTACCACATAGAAAGAACCAGAGGAAGAAGGGGAGGAAATGAGATGGACTTACTGGAAACTACATTTAACTCTAGTAGAAGTGTATCAAATTGTCAACAAGTGATAATCAGTCATTTTTCACTTGCAGGAAGCTTTTCAGGTTGGAATATACTGGGCAAACACTAACACGGTGCACAAATCAGTGGCAATTAAACTGGTTCATAATGTGACCTCCCCGAAGTGGAAGGATGCTGATAATGGGGAAGTAGTAATGTTGGACGAAGAAGGTTTTGTTGAAGCTGAAATAAAACTTGGTGCTTTTCCAGGTCATCAAAAGGTTAGAAGAAAATTATCATTATTTATAGCTTTATAATTTAAAACCAAAGTCATATAGCAGATTAAAACAATCAAATGTATACACAATCAAATGTATACAGTGTGAAAGCTCCTCCCTAATTATGTTAATACATGAAAAACATAATGAGAGTAAATAATATATGAAGTATAATTTAAAGAATTAGATCACCAAAAAAATTCTGCCCAACTCATCAGGATAGTACAGTATCTCCTAGAAAAAGAATTAATGAATTCTTAATCTTGTTTGGAAAACATTGACAGATGCAGCTTCAAAGGTATGTAATGTGGCTGCAGTTATGAAGTGCACGAGTACAGACAGGACTTCCACAGTTAAAAAGAAAATAGCAGTTCTGTCATGATATTTCAGTATGTTTTGCGGTTTTGTGTGTGATCTCATCATCATTTTTATTATCTTACAGTTGTGTCAGTTCTGCATTTCTTCGATGGTTCGACAGGGTATACAAATTCTGCAGGTAGAAGATAAGACAACAATAATCAATGATACATCATATCAAATCTATTATAGGCCACAGCTTTCTATTTCCAAACCTCACTCAGGAGAAGAGGTAAAGCACTGCAGATATTGTTTTTGTTTGTCGTCTGCAGTACATGGGTGTTTAGATTTGTATGGTCTCAACTGCACATAGCAGTGCTTGAACAGAAATCTTTACACATAATAATGATAACGTATTTTATATCATTTTAATTTAAAATACAGAATCCTGGGTAAATTCAACTCCAGTAATTAACTGTGATCAGAAATCTGTGCAAAGCAGGAGATTCTTGCACATTGCAGAATTAGTTCTGCCTGTTCTCCATCTGTTCAGGCATTAATGGCCATTTCTGTAAAATAGGCAGCGTAATCCATAGTAGCTGTTGAAATTGTTCTCAGAATTTTTACTGACTTTGCATTTAAAAGAGGTATATTGGCCTGGCAGGCTGAAAACTTTTTGTTATCCTTTTGGGAAGATTCCAGTTATCTGAATAGAGCTGCAGAACTAGAGACGTGTCCAAAGTTTATGTATTTCAGCAAACTGCATCGAATCATGAATATCAGTTTTCTAATAATCGCACAGTATATATACGGACCAGCTTACAGGAACCAAAATGTATACATGGTCAATGTATTTTAATCAACCATTTATACATATTTATTGAAGATTACGTTTATGGTAAAATATGTGGAAGGAATTCTCAGAGTCAAACTTGCTCGAGGAGTTAGCAGATAAACAGATTTTTCAAGTTCCCTGTGTCTGTATTGTTTTCCTTCTGCATTAGTTTTCTTCACATTGATATCTACATTTGTGCATCGTGCGTTTTGTGGCAGTCTGATGGGATGGGGAATTGGAAGAATGTTGAGGCTAAAACCCGTTCTTAGGTTTATATCTATAAATGGATTTCCTTCTCATGGTTTCCTTACAGTGATGTAACTGTTGCTTTTGGTAGAGTTCTGTTGTGTCGCTGAGAGTGGACTGTAGAGAACTGTGCTCAGTTAACTACACAAGTGTACCTAAAGACAGAATGTGGCTGAATAGCTTGCCGTGCAATGGACTTAGTGCAACCGTTAGTTAGTTGTGGTCAGTTGGCTACTTGAGGCTGTTCTGTGCAAGATCAACAGGAATAAATTTCCTGTTAGGAGCCAGCATGTCATGCTACCTCTGTCTTTTTTCTTTCCAGGACTTCCACTCACCAGACAGTACGGTGTTCAGCGTCAGTCCAGCCGGGGCACCAGCCAGCGCGGCGCTGAGCGCTGTGCCCTGCTGGGACCTGATGTCGGACACCAGTCCCTTAACCCTGGGGATGCCTCTTACCGAAAAGCGCCTACTGCTGAGTTTTAGCCCAGGCAGCTGCGCTGGCAGCTGCGAGCTGTGGAGCCTACCAGCTGTCATTAAACAGGACTTCCCTAGACAGAGCGTGGCGGTGCCCACAGGAGCATGTAGTGAAAGTGGATTTTGTACCAGGTACTGTATGCTGAGCAGTCGCAAGTAATGAACTTTGCTTGTTGTTATAAAGCCTCAGCTACTAACGAACCATAAGAGATTAATGCAAAAGTCAGAGTAACACATGCCCCCCGTATGTAAAGGCAAGTCTTACTTTAATTTAAAAATTATTATCTTCTGCTGGTTTTGATGCTTTTATTGTAAATGGGTTAGTGTTATGACCATGTACAAGTTGTACAGTTTTTGTAATGTATAGGCTGCTGTTTTTTCACATGCATACTAAATAAGAGCCTGAAAAGTTTATATTTCAGATTATAGTCTTTTTTAATTTGTGGGTAACAGTTTAAGAGTTCAAGGACAGCGTGAAATAATATAGTACAAAAATTCAGGTTTTGTTTATAAATGGTAAAAATATGTTTTAGTAATAATAATAAGAGGATAAACAGGAAAAGCAAAAAAGGACTGAAACTATTTTGAGACTACAACAAAGCAAGATTTCCAAGTGTTAAAGCTTGAAATATCTAAACGTGCTTTCCACTTACAAACAGATGCATCCAGCTAGTTAAAAGTAACAGTCCAATGACTTGTCAGATGCCCGACTTTAATTCTCAGACCTGATATCTCAATCTATTCATGCTTATGCTGGTATAAACAAGAAACAATCCGCTGAAATTAGAGAAGCTACATCAGTATATATTACCAGCCAAGTGATCTTTCTCCTACCTGAAGTGTTTGGTATCATTCAAACCCTCACACAGCTTCTCTGCAGAGTCTAAGAGGTGTCATTGTGGATACTGAAGATTCTCACGCAGACTTCAGATTAAAAAAATGTTTAAATGTGAAGAACAAGGAAAGGATTCCTTATAATTCTGAGACAGGCGTAGAGGATCTCATGTTCCTAATCAAATTTTCAGGCTGTTTGGATTTTTAAAATCACCATGAGGTGAAGTTTCTTAGAAATAGCCAATAAATTTGCACAAGGAAAAAAAAGAATTTGTGTTTATGTGTGAAGACATTTTATGTAGCTAGTGAGTAGAACTAAATTAATTTATTTTCGTTTTGAAAATTTATATAGTGATGATCCATAACATTAACATTTGAAAGGGCGATAGCATTGCAGATCATTCCAGGGGAGCAGTCAGTTACAAATTTACATATTTGTTAAAAATACTTTTCATGTGTATCAGAGAAGGATGCATGCAAATTCTTCTGGAAAATTTTAAAGATTTATATTGAAAATTTGGGCCTACAATCTCATGTTTTTAATTTAATATAAATCTCTGCTGGCTAGAGCTCTCATCTTGCAAACACACATGCTCAATTTAACTCACAAGTAGTCTCTATGAAGTGATTTCTTCTGTGATGTTGACTTTCGTGCTATTCCCACCTATGCGTCTGTTTAAATATAGTTCTCAGTTGAGGTATGTACTTGCGTAAATGTATATAAATATCTGTGGAATTGAAACTTGATCATAAAGAATCTTACAGATGCAAGTTTTGAATGTTTTTAGTTGTCCAGAGTAATAATACATAAACATTTCATCGAAAACATGCATAATCAAATATATCTGCTTCTGTTCTAGAGCTATAGCACTGACTTATCAAGAGCACCTTGGCGTGACATACCTAACACTTACAGAAGATCCTAGTCCTCGTATAATTATCCACAATAGGTGCTCTGTTCCATTGCTTGTAAAAGAGAACTTAAAAGGTAGGTAGTATGCAGTGATTAGAAACAGTGCACTGTTGTAATGTAGAATATTTTACTGTATCTCCACTAGAAAGTTGAGTTCAGTATATGTTTTGGTTACAACAAGAACTTGATGCCCTCATAAAGGTCTATCTCAAAGTGAGAGACTCTGGAAGATACTGAAGCCTTGAAGCTAGTGGAGCTAATCATGAGCTCAGGAGTATGAACTTATGTGGCTCCAGGCTTTTGGGTCTCCATGGTTCCAGCTGTCAAGGTGACTTGGCTGTAGGAAACTAATAGGCAGTGGAGTTTTGTTGACATCAGTTCAGTCCCATGGAACATTTAAAATGCCTCAGATTTGCACATGTAACACAAAACATATTGTAAAAATTCCAGTTGCAGTATGTTAATGTAATGATCAGTGGAACATTATTTATGTAAATCTTAATCATATAAAAAAGAAAAGGAAAAAACCCCAAATGCATAGAATTCCAACCAACAGAAAAGTAATGTTTTTATTTATTAGTGATATTTCAGACAGAAACTCCCTCATTTGTGTAAGAATAGGTGAGTTTTTATTTAATTCAACTTTTAGAAAGCCCTGACCTTGTATATTTTATAAAATTTCAGATACACCAAGGACTGAAGTTTTTTGTAGAAAGATTCCAGCTGAATGTTCGGTTCATCATGAACTTTACCATCAAGTCTCCAGCTATCCAGATTGCAAAACAAGAGATTTGTTACCCAGCATTCTTCTGAAAGTCATGTCGTCCAATGATTTAGTAAATGAGTGGACTGATTTTGTGGACATCAACAATCAAGGAACACAAGTAAATAATTTTAAACTATTTCCTAGTTCACAGCATAAATGATTGTCTTCCTGACGTGCACAGTATATTGCTCCTCTGCAATGAGCATATCCTTTCTGTTGGTTTGGGGGTTTTTCATTTAAGTCTTGAGAGTTCTCTTTCCCAAGCCCCTTCCTGTGGAAGTTTTAGAATATAGATTACCTGCTTCACTGGCTGTTTTTAAAAATAGATAGATCAAAAATACAGGCTTTCTACCACTGATTTTTTTCACTTCTTTTTAATCAACCTGGTGTTCCCTGGAAAAATCAGTCCTGAAAATTTCTGGCCCCTATAAGTAAAGAATCCCGCAGGATCCAGGAAAATCCTTCTGTTTGGTAACTTAATTGTCACAGGATTTTTATCTTTACATCTTGTAGGAATCATCACTGTCGTTCTCCCTCTGTATCTTCACAGAAGCTATGCACGTCTTTCTAAAACAAAACAAAAACCTTATTTTCTTTCCTTCTGTTATTTTTCTTATGTTTTGAGGTAAATGAAAACTTCCTTGACTGGAGTAATTCTTTTTGATGGGAATTTTTTCCATCTTTGAAGTCATTAGTTTACATGGAATCAACATAAACTACTTGGCTCTTTGAAAGAAATACTGGTTTCAGATGTTTTCCCTGGGGACCAATCACAAAATGCTCTTGATTATTGAGTGTTATGTTATATAGCAAGTAGTTCAGTTTCATTCAGCAAGTCAGTCAAGCAATGAGAGGTTTTAGATTTCGGTCATTAATGTTATGCCAGACCAGGGTTCTTTGTAAGTATCTGGCTTCTAGAAGGAATTAGATGCTAAGACAACATTTGGGGATCATTGTCTACTTGAAGAACTCTCCAAATAAAAAGTGTAGCCTTCTGTTATTGAAGTCTTAGGGTTTACATGTAGAGAATTTCCCCAGGATTTCTCAGTCAGTCTTTTGCTTAGAAAACTGTAAATAAAAGTAAATAAGGAATATGCGAATAGCTTCACATACAGCTCGGTTCAGATTGTGAAAAAACTGAGATTTAGAGGATCTTAAGTAATTTGTACTCTTTCTACCTAGTCACAGAGAGGTACTGCTTGTTCTATTAGAAAGAAAAACTTATTCATTTAATAAAATTAAGGTATTTGTCCTTATCATCAGAATCATCTGAAATTGGAATTAAAATGACCAATCTTTAAGATCAGTAAGGGTTTTTTAGAATAATGAGGGGGTATTGAAAATTCAGTAAATGTCCTTTTTTCTCCAATTCTGTCATGCAGGATTGTGAATCTCTTTCAGATAAGCATAGGGTTAAAACTGACATATTGAAATTAGAAATTCTCTTATATATAATTCTCAGAACTATAAGACATAATTTGATGAACAAAATTTAATTATCTGTACAAGGCTGTTATAAATAGTGTAACCAGAATCAGCTGAAGTGCTGATCCTACTAAATTTCCAAGTGCTTTGCATTCTGGTGACTTGCTAACAGCAGTAAAGATTCTTCAGGACAAACAACTGTTTATTTTACCTGTGCTAGCCCATTATCTTTGTGTTGTTCCTTGAATTTGCTTTCCTTTAAATTATAGCTTCTGTCATTACAATCTAGTAAACAATAGTAGCCCAACAAGAAAACAGAAGCCAGCTTGCTGTAACAAGGACTGCTGTAAGTTTTCCAAACCCGAAAAGACCTTAATGTTTTATATTCTCAAAAAACACAAAACTTGTACATAAATGTTGCAGAATTAAGCTCCAAAAGCAAAACATCATTTCTTTAAGTAGAATATTTATTCCTAAGGAAAAGTTGTTCAGCATGAAAGTTTGCACGTCTGTAAGCAAGACACAAACCTGTTAAGTTCACATTTTCCTTCCTTTTTGAACGTTTTATGCTTCCCAATAGACTTGTGCCATTTCTTTGTGACAGTACCTTGCTTGTGAAGGTGTTCTTATAAAACCAGTTTAAATGGCTTTAAAATGTGTTCAGTGTTGAGTTGTTATGCATGTCTTCATGAATCAAAAATGTTACTTGGTTTTCAGTCTTCATGTGTTTTGCATCCTGTTATCAACCATTCATCTAACCAGCTCTGAGCTAGGACATAGCAACATAATGTTAATTGAGAGTTTGTTTTCCAGAGGAGAAGGTGGGATTTTGCAGAGCTCTAGGAATAGGCCTTTCTCCTTAGTCCAAATTCACAAATTAAAATTTCCTATTTATTCTTCTCTCATATAACCTCCTCTGTCCCAAGCACATCCTGCTTATTTCTGCAGAAGTTTCATATTAAAATGTATTGAATTATACAGTTAAACGATGAGGTGCAAATTTCATCTTGCTGTATAACTGAAATACTTTTAAGTATCAGAGTTATTTTCTGAAGTATTGAAATCTGTTTCTTTTTTTCCTGAACAGTAGCATGATTCATGTAAAAGATGTCAACCAGCAGGCATTAATAGGATTAATTCAAATTGTGACATTAAAAATAGTCATTTCAATAGCGTTCCATACGTTTCTAACTCTCTCCACTAGATTGTGTTCTTAACTGGCTTTGGCTATGTTTATGTGGACATTGCCCATCAATGTGGAACAATAGATGACAAAAAGCATTGCCAAACAATGATGAGAGGTCAGTCAGCTTTTAACTGACTTACGAACTTTGGGTTAACTGTTTGTTTTGTTTAATACTGCTTCATGCTCTGTGGCGTGTGTTTAGACCATAGGTTATGCTTTGTATATCACAGTTAAAAAAGGACAATCTAACATCAAAAGTCATGTCACTTGAGGGTAAACACTATATGTCTGATACAAAAAGAAGTCCTAAGTTGTTCATTAATAAAACACATATCATAATTAATTTTGAGTGTGTTCATCAGTTTAAAATGTATTTAGCCAGGTCCTGCCATCTGTAATCCTATAAGCTCCCACTAAAATTGGTAGGGAACTTGATGCACAAGGGCTGTAGAAACAGTCTTAGTAATTAGCTGTACTTGATTATAACACTCTTCTTCAGAAGACTTCCCCACTTCCATAACACACCACAAGCTGGTCCTCAGCTCCGTTCAACTGCAATTAGAACACTACCTATTTCCAATATGCAGGATGCCTGGCCTCCAACAATGCTGTTACAATTACAGCGGAATTTGTTGTACTGGTTTTGTTTGTGCTGTAATTAAGTATTAATCCCTGAGAAATTGGTCATCAGCGGTACATAATAGCCCACTTGCTAGTTAAATTGGGAAATGGGCAGTTGTGATGGCTGCATTGGAGGGCACTCACTGCGTGTGATGTGAAATTAATTATCCATAATAGTAACTTTCAGTAGTGGCTTCTAGAAATACTGTGACAGCTGAGGCTGTACGTGAATTATCAGAAAATGGCTTTTGTTGTCTGCTTTAACATCTGGCTCTGTTGCAAATCTAATAGGGGATTACTATGTGTATAGAGATGTTCCTCTCCAAACTATCCTGTTGATTGATAAGAAAGAAAGAGAAACTTGGCATAGATGTGTAATATCTCATTTCTTAAAGGACCTCCTTGGTGGGTACCCACTGTGGTGATTAAGGCTGCCAGATCCTGTTAACATTAATGGGACTTGCACGATGAGTTTCCAATGTATTACAGAGAATGTCTCTCTTGATAGCTTTCTGAGAAAGCAAGCTGCCAGGTGAACTCAAAATACATGAAGTAACAAGACTTCTTTTCCCTCCTGCCTAGAAGTCAAGAGCAGACCCTGTCACTGAGAATGTTCATCAGTCAGTTAAGTCTTGCTGCATTTGATGATATTACAAACCACAAAGTGTCGTCTGAACTTCTGCGTCTCACAGCAGACAACGTTTTCCTCCACATGGCCCCAGCCACCAGCTACCCGAGACCACTGTCGCAGGAACTCCAGCGGGACGCCATGGAAGGCCTGCCACAATTCCATAGTCTCCAAGTGTATTGTGAAGACTTGCAACTGGACAATCAGTTGTACAGCAAATCCAATTTCCATTTTGCCGTCCTGCTGTGCCAAGGAGAGAAAAATGAGTCCATGCAGTGGTCCAGAGTGAACAACTTCATTGTTTGTAACAAAGATTTGGAAAGCTATAAGGAGAACTGCTTTATAAAACTCTGCATTGCTTTTTCCGAGGAAGAGAATTTCATGTTTCATGTGAATGACCTCAGCTTTGAGCTCAAACCAGCTAGGCTGTATGTGGAAGACACCTTTGTTTACTATATTAAGACTTTGTTTGATACATATCTTCCAGAAAACAAAACTGCTTGTCAGTCCGTGAATACTTCAGATACTACCCTGATAGTGCCTGAACAAGTGAGGGAGCATGCAAGAGCTTTAGTCAAGCCAGTGAAGTTAAGAAAATTAACAATACAACCTGTTAATCTCCTTGTCAGTATTCATGCTTCATTGAAACTGTATATAGCCTCAGATCACACCCCTCTCTCCTTCTCTGTGTTTGAGCGGGGACCCATCTTCACCACTGCCAGGCAACTTGTCCATGCCTTGGCTATGCATTACGCTTCTGGAGCACTCTTCAGAGCAGGTCAGTACTTTTCCTTAACAGGTAACATTTTTATTAGGTACCAGTATTCTGGGATTTTCTCTCAAGCTGAATAACCTAGATGTTAGCCATACAATTATTGTTTTCCTCAGACACTGTTTGATAATGATATTTTCAGACACCTTTCATGTCCTGCCATACAACAGAAGGGAAATAAAATGACTGAGCAGACACCAGTGAAGATTCGTGAAGTTGTGCTAAACATTAGCCAGCCGCCTGAAGGCTTTATGAAACCCTGAACACAGCATAAAAATGTATTCTAGCTGGCTTAGGTTTTGTCATTCTGTATTATAGCACTAGTCAGAGTCAACCCACATTCCTTACATAAACTCCTCAAAACTATGTTTAATCAAATTATTCAGCATGTTGCGCTGCATTCAGAAGTAAATTATAACCCTGAACGTTGTTTTGTTGTTAAAACTCCTTTTGGCTGCAGTTTATGATTAGGAATCTGTCTTTCTTCATACAGCCTTCATGCTAAACTGGCACACAGATGTTTGTTGTTCTTTGATCCAAGAACTACGAAGTTTGTTTTTACTAACTTTTTCCCATATAGGATCAATAGTGAGCAATTAGTTTATTAGGTTAGCAGGTACCTTCTGTTTCCCATAAATATTAATTTAGAAATAATGAAATTTGGTCTCTGCTGTGTCTTAGTGTGGAACGGAATTTGTACCTGAGACAGGAGGAAGCTCCTCCATGATCGCACACTAGCATACTCTGCACTGAAACGTGGCATTGATTTTCCTGCAATACTAATGGTCAGATTTTCTGAAATCCTGATGCTTCCATTTGTGCTGCAAGCATAGGTACAACCTGATTTCTGTGCACAGTTTCCAAAATTGTACACATTCATTACAGGTATTTATAAATGGAAGCAGTGAGATGCTGATCTGGTCTTTCCCTGTGTACAAAGCTGACTTGCATGGCTGATTATGGCAACTGTGTACACAGTTGTGCACCAGAACTTTGTGCACCGATTCATTATTTTCTTCCATTATTTTGCTTGCAAAATTTGCAGGTTTTTCTTATTACTGCTTGTTTGGATTTGTTTTACAGTCAATTCTCATAGTATGAAAGGGGAGATCTAGTTTCTTGCTACTTAAGAGTGAAACTGTGGCCAAATATGGTCCACAGTGTGAATGTTTCTCCCCACGACTGGCTAGGAGTGGTGATACAAGTGGTGATAGACTGCATCAGGAAATTGGGGTTATACTGGCTTTTCATCCACAACATCCCAGGTGAGGCATATATGCTAGCTAGGGATTCCTGAGCCTGGGCTTGATCTTCTCTCCTGTGCTACCCTTGCAGTGGGCTGCATTGCACAGGCCACCGCTTGCTCTGGGCTTGTGATTTAGCTGAAATCAAGCAAGTTTAAATATTAAGAAATAAGGTTTGCTTCAGTTGAACTATCTCTTCAGGAAAATACAGAAGCATATATTTAGTTGCTACTTAAATCCCACCCAAGGCATAAAAACTAAAATGTATTTTTTTGAAAGGGGTTATCATGATTGAAATGGTGAATGGTATTGATTAATGTTTGCTTGAGCAAAGAAGATGCTTTACTTTGGAGAGTTTGTGACACTTGTCAAAAGGCTGACTGTGTCAACAAAGTTTAAAAGGAAGAAAAAATCAAGCAAAAAGCTTTATATGAAGGGTGGGTGTCAGGAGGATGGGGCCAAGCTCTTTTCAGTGGTGTCCAATGACAGGACAAGGGGCAATGGGCACAAACTAAAGCACAGGAAGTTCCGTCTGAATATGAGGAAGAACTTCTTCCCTCTGAGGGTGACGGAGCACTGGAACAGGCTGCCCAGGGAGGTTGTGGAGTCTCCTTCTCTGGACTGCTGTAGGGGACCCTGCTGCAGCAGGAGGGTTGGACTAGATGACCCACAGAGGTCCCTTCCAACCCCGAACATTCTGTGATTCTGTGATCTGCAAACCCTGAGTCCTTTTCTCACCATCAGGAGAGTTGCATTTCTTGGATTGGTCTCTTGTGGAAGAGGACCTCGCTCTCCTGCATTTTAACTACACTAGTCTGCAAAACGATGGGTTGTTTGACCCACCTCTGCTCACCACTGTCCCATGCTTAAATCGTTGTAGCCTCTGCACAAACGGTGTTCCCATACAGCCATGCTTATGCTCCAGGTGGGATGTAGTCTCATGTTGCCCTTGGCTGTGTGCAAGACCATTGCTGCACTGTGGGAGGGGGCAGGATTTGCCCCAAAGCCTGCTAAAGGGGGTGTATCAAGCTGCCCCATATGTTGTGAAGGAGCAGCCAGAATTCATGTCTCGGAAGTAATGAATGGGGCTAGAGAGCTCAACTCAAATATGATGATTAGCACTGCTTGCCTCAAATTAGCAAAACTTGCAGTGGAAATCTCCCATCCTTTTCTAATTAAGTTGGCTTCTATTTAGAAGTTAATAAAATTCTGTTTAAAATTATTACTAGTATCAGCCAGATCTAATCCTATAGTTGCCTATAAAGAAAATGCAGTGGCTGTCTGCTAATGTAGTCATAATTATTTCATATTAGTGGATATAATTACTAAGCATACTTTGGGAAATGGTAACCTGAGTTGATACTATGTTTCTGCGGAGTAAAATGCAGCACAGAGCTTGTGAATTGAAGGATTATTCCCGATTCATAATTTTCCTATTCCCAATTTACTCCCACGCCTTCCTCCTTGGGTTGGGTGGTCCATGCCGGCTGTGAGGAGCCGTTAGTTTTGCTCTGAGCATTGGCCAAGGAGGGTCACCCTTGCTGCAGGTTGCATGTTCCTCCTGTGTACTCTCCAAGGGTGAGCATGCTCCTGCCAGAGCTTCAGCTGCCAGGCTGCAACAGCCCCTCCGCAGGATACCAGGCAACCCCTCAGCTTTGTGTTTAACTGGTTTCATTCCTGGTTTTAATCCAGTTTTCATTCCTGAACATGCTGACTGGCCAAACAGCTGAGTGGAGCTGGAGTCTCTCATGTCCCAGCCTGATGGTGCCAGCAGGGCAGCAAGGCATTAATCTGCAGTGTCGTGCAGCCCCTTTCCGGAACCTCATGCTGTCCCATCGCTGCCTCGGGACGGGGAATGCCAAGGACGTTTTGAAAAAAAAGAAAAAAAACCCGGCTGTTTGTAAGGGATTATGGCAACATTATTGATCAGAAAAAGCAGAAGGAGCATCTCTTCCATCTGTACACGCCTCCCCGCCCCCCCAGCTTTTCATCACTTCACACAGTGGCAAGGATAATTTGTTAAAAATACTCCAGTGAGGGAGTCGCAGGCCCAGCCCGGGGTGCTGGCTTCCCCTAGTCCCCGGCAGGGAAGGACTGCCAGGGGAACGCTCCTCTCCGGGGCAGGCTCCGCCGGGCCACAGCGCTCGTTGCCGCTTGGCTCGTCACGTTGCCGGTCGTACTTGTTTTTTGCTTTCATAGTCCATCCCACCCTCTCCCTTATGTCCACTGTGGTTCCCGCTTTTTATGTTACATGAACTGGAGTTCTCAACCTGCCAGGGCTGAAATGTGGGACAGATTCAACAAGAATAATAGATTTTCCGGGAGCTTACAATGGTAGTGTGAGATTAATTCATTTCATATGAGTAACATTTTCTCTTCTGTTCAGTTTCATGATTCAGCCTTCCACGGGAATGACTGGGAGGGGTTACTAGAAAACAAGAAAAGCATCTGGATAGCAGGAGTTTGCGGTGATGAGATGGGAATGAGGAGGGCAGCTCAGATCAAGGGCCCTTGGCGGGAGAGCAGGAGGCCAATCTGTCCGTCTTTCAGTCTGCTGGCCCTGTCACGCCTTGTGTCGCTCTGACAGTGCCAGTCGGAATTCTCGGTACCGGGGCTCAAAGACCAGGCAGTTCCCTTTTAACATTTATTGCTATTTCTGAATCATTCTCTCTGGGCTGCCGAAAAAAAAAGTTATGCAGCACCATTTCCCTAATAAATCTGCTGCCAACCAGCCTGAGAAAGACAAGACCTGCAAACAGCTTTCCAGCAGCAGATTGCTGCGCGCTCGGCCATCCAGCAAGCTGCTGGCAGCCCTGCGTTTATATAGGAAACCAGATCCGCAGATACCTCTCCTGGGATACGCGTAAGGAATACTCCCCTATGAGTAACCTAATCAGCATGTAGATGTCATTGCTGTTTATACAACTGTACTGAGCAAAAGACATTTGTCTGGCTTTCACTGCGCTCTGAAAGAAAATGATCAGCTTAGAAGGGTTGGGGTGGATTTAAAATAACTTTTTAAGCACTTGTCAAAAATCTGCATCCCCTTTCCTAACACTCCATCAAGCAGTTGACCTCCACACTCCGGTAAAGCAGCACATTGTATCAGTGTAAACTCCCTGTCACAGTTCTATCACGTAAGGATGTGAAATCGCAACGCTGCCTTACAGCATCTAAAACCAACCCGGTGATCTGAACTTGCAGTCCCGTTGCTCCGTAGCTGTGAGGCTCTGGCATCCGCCTCCCTAGCACACTTTTAGCAGAAATACGGGAAGCTCCTGGAAGGAAGTCATTCTAAAGCTATTTGTGAGTTTGCCAAAAGGATTTCTTTGATTTACGAAGTATGAAAGATTGCCATTTCTGAATTCATAGCGGATGAGTTATTTCCCGTGTTTTGCTCAAAGGAAGTCCGTAATGCAACGAATTCTAGTGTGAAGAGGAGAATTAAGGAATAACCTTTTCCCAAAGGCTGCTGCTGCAGTTTTTGCAGCCATGACATGTGTCTTGTTTCTCCACACAGGCTGGGTTGTCGGATCGTTGGAAATTCTCGGAAGCCCGGCTAGCCTGGTGAGAAGCATAGGGAACGGCATAGCCGATTTCTTTAGGCTCCCCTACGAAGGGCTGACCAGAGGCCCAGGAGCGTTTGTCAGTGGAGTTTCCAGAGGAACGACATCGTTTGTAAAACACATTTCCAAAGGTAGAGCTCTCGCTTTGTTGTTCCAGCTACCGCTTTGTTGTCGGGCGCTGTGAGAGGACGTGTTAAAGCTTCAAACAGCGTTGCTTGCAGCTTGGCTTGGCGTGCTGGGCCGCAGCGCGGTGCTGGGAGGGGAGCAAAGCCCCCACAGAACTCCGGGTGCACTGAGCAGATCACTGCTTGACTACAGCGCGCGGGAGCGTTTCGGAAACTTCAGCGCTTGGAACCTCCCCGCGGGAAGCGGAGCTTGGCTCGGCCGGTACTGCGTGTGGTGACGGCAGAAACGGGAAGGGGGTTCGGGGCTCCTGCTGACCCTCAGAAGCGCGGCGCTCCGTCGCCTCATCATCTTTATCGGTTCTTTTTTTCAAAACAAAAAAAAAAAAAAAAAAAAAAAAATAAA